GATTTATTGCCTTAAGCTTTTTACCCATTCGTCAATCCTGGCTGTTTCTGTATGTATAAGTTATTCCAAGTATGTTTAATGATGTTATTAGTCAAAGGCAGTGATGTAAGCAAGACGTCGGTATAAATGCCGCCATGGCAATAAAGAGAGATCTATCTGAGCCTGTGTTTGCGTCGCCTCCTCGGGATCCGCTTCAGCCTGAGACGTCAGCGGAGCAAAGGGTGTCCTGAGCTGACTTCCCGCCACTCGCCGAGGTCATTTGCTGGACGTTGTCTCTTATTGTTGTGTAATTTTGTTTTTATCGCCTTCCTTTCTGGATTCGGCTTTTCTTGTTTCGTTTTCAACGTTCAGTTCCTTTTAAGTGATGCATCTAATATGCCTTTTTGTACAAAGTAACGTGTTTCTTTTTCTTATCTTGGAATTTGAAGAAGAGTAACGTAATTTTAGTCTGTGTGAGTTCTTGTTTTTACACGCTTTATTATTTCAGTATCTTTTATTTCTGTTGTTTTATATATTTCAAATGATAGTCTGAGTCACGGCATTTTAGTAATATTTCTCCGCTCTTTGTACATGTCATACCTGCGTATGATCCTGGGTCAGTGCCCGCTACCATTTCACAGGCCCAGGATCTGTGTTCACTTGTTCAGGGAGTGAACGGGACCCCCATTTGCGTCCCTAGGCCAGCCTCGCTTCACGGGAGGCTTCAGCTCGCTTCACGAGGCTGGAGCTGAAGTCGGAATCGTCATTAAGGACCAACTTACATACATCAACACCATTATTTTCACTTCTATTATGATTAGCAACATTGTAACAAGTTTTATTCTGGTCGGTAACAGCAAGCTCACACTCAGCCTACATTCAAAACCAAATTTAAGTCTTCAGACATGTTTGGCAAATATAAAGCATGTATTTCTGGGGTTCGTTAGAACACTAAGAATCCCCCTCGTATTCTAAGACCGGCATGCGGGCGCGTCCGATGTCGAGTCCGCCCCGCGTTCTCCCCTTCCGTTCGAGCGGCGGGTTCCTTATGGCCGACGGGGGGGGGGGGGGGGTGACTAGATAGTGACCAAGTCTCTGTATTTCCATATTTTACTCTGAAATTTCCATGGTCCCTTTCATACCCTGCTATCGGGGCCAAGTTTGTGGGTATTGTATATATATATATATATATATATATATATATATATATATATATATATATATATATAGTGTGTGTGTGTGTGTGTGTGTGTGTGTGTGTGTGTGTGTGTGTGTGTGTGTGTGTGTGTGTGCATATATATGTGTGTCACAATGTGTGTGTGTGTATGTATGTCTAAGTAGCAGAGAGTGAGAGGAATCCATCGATACCTCTATCGTCTTGATCGATTTGAAGGTATTATGAATACTTACCATGATGAATATCAGTATCAATGCATATTACATTGAAATACCAAGATAGCATTGGTACATGTGCAATACAAATTTACTGTCTCTTATTATTCTGTGGCATTTTGTCGTAGTTATCCATCAAATTTGAGGCAATGCTCTATGTTTTGAAAGAAAATGAAAAATAATTCTAGGGAAGACTATAAAAAACAGAAGCCGACTCTATAACGAATATATATCTAGTAAAATGACAAAATGTTTGTGTTTCCAGTCAGCTTAGAGTACGCAAAACTCGACACAACGGCACGTTTTTTTTTCAGATTATGATTAAAAATTGCTATATAAGCATACGTAGAAAATTGTAAATAAAAATTTGTTTAATCATAACCCTATGTGGGATGTTAAAATACCTCACTGGCTATTTTTCGTCAAAATAAGAACCATACACGTACCGTTATAACATATCATTGTTTACCGTTATTTATTTACTTATTTCTCTTCACTGTCAAACAAAGAACCAAACCAAACATTTTTTATTAATCGTCATTTATCGTCAAACAAAGGAAATAATCTAAAAAATGTTTGCACAACGTGGTTTGGAGTTAGTCCCTTGACTCAGGTTCGACAGATGCAGGAGCTGCTATACCCGTTCAATGTTCCTCTTGCTTGTTCA